TATCCAAAAGAGTAGAAAGTTAAGTTTCCGATGTTTTGAGACTGAAGAAACGACGCACATTAAATTATGAAAAGTCAGGAATTTAATTTTCTACTCATTAGGATATTATAAACATAATACTATTCCAAGCAAAGACGGATGATGGCTAGCACTGGAATCTAGGAAGTATGTTTCGTCTTATTTGGGACTCGTCAGCTGGATGTATCTGTATCTCAGAGTTAATGTTCAGTCGAATCTTTTACCGTTCGCTTCAAAAGTCATCGCGTTGTCCACTCAGTTACTGAGTTCTGATAGCCACTTGCTTATGCAATAAGGTGAAGTTTTCGTGTATAATAGAACGAAATGCGCGTCTTGGATTCCACTGTTAGCCACCATCCATCTTTACTTATAATGCTTAAGGCAATGGTCACATGATGCACATATGCCAACAAGAGACTGATCAGTTGCAGACCAAAACATCAATAAGAAGATTCATGCAACAAGTAACTGCGACAATTATCATTGACCTTAGTGGAAGTTTATTAAATCATTTGATATTTGCTCACATTATTTATAATTTACAGATAACTGTCAATTAATAAATTCCACAGATTGAAATCATGAGTCAATTGAAGCTAGACCACCATGGAAAACCTGGAAGCAGTGCTTCCAAGTGCTTCAAGATTACCTAAAAGTTTAAAAGTCCCTGACAGTTAAAGAGTATGAATTAGAAGTAGTTATCAATGGAAAAAATGATTTAATAAGGAATATATGTGTTAAGTTTTCTCACTCAACCCTGTTAACTTTACTGGTTAGTAATCCACGAACAATTGTACATTTTCGGGACTCAATGACACCCATAACTTTAAGTATTCTCCATACTATTAATAAGGATATGCTCATTAATTACTAACTATGAGCATTATTTCCCAGAGCTCTATTGAGAAGCAGCGACTAATGGATAAATAGATTAATATATTTGTAATATCTCAATGAGTAGAAAATTAGATTTTCTGACGTTTCGTGATTCAGTATAAGCCACTTCTTCAGAGAATAAATAACCAAATCAAAATTAATCCATGTTTAAATAGTACAACGGAACAACACAAGAATATTATGTGATCAATCAAAAAACAGGTTTGAATAATAATCAATCTCATGTCATTTCGGTCAAGGTGATTCATGAGCGACATGTATGTAAATTTGTCTGTATGTAATTGTGTACTGTTAAAGATGAAAAATGTGTGACCTTTATGATGAGAAAGGATAGAGTTTAATTTGTAAAATAATAGTGTGAAATGTGAATAATATCAGACTAGGTGGCTAGGATAGATAGTTCAAGTAGGATGTATGGTAAGGCATTCTTTTTTTATTGAGAGCAGTAGAATTAAATATTACATGGAACGCTTCAGTTACTCTCCTTTCTTTGTAATTGGAAAAACCTTTTTGTCATATTTTGATATTTTTGAAATCGATTTGATGGTTGTAGAAAATGGCATGAACTGCTATTGCCAATTTAATTTGAAGTCTATCCAGTTCTATGGGATTATTAAGAGGTTTCTTTATGTACCTAATATGTTCTTTGACTCGAGTCAAGATTTCGCGAGATGACTCTCCAATATAAAAGGCATCACAATCGATACAACCTAATTTGTAGACACAGTTCTGTGTGGACATGAAAGGGATTTTTTCCTGTTAAGCGAACTAAAGTATTTCGAAGTGTGTTCGTTGTTTTGTAATATACTTTAATTCTGTGCTGTTTTAAGATTCTTTGGAGTTCTTCTGTTGTGCCATGACGGTATGGTAAATCTGAATTGCCAATCCATGGTATTTCATTCGAATTATTATTATTACGCAATGAAACGTTTTGTTTTACTATACTTCTAATAATCTTCATAGGAAAGTTATTAAATTGTAAGATGCTAATTACATTCTTTTGTTCTTTTTGTTTATCATCTTCTGATGTGATAATCTTGTTAGTTCTTCTAAAAAGATTTAGGGCTAGCGAGATCTTTTCATTGAATAGTTGCTTTGAATTGAAGTAAATATAACGATTAGCGTGTGTAAGTTTTCGGTAGATGGATATATTTAGATTTCCATTTAGATTTCTTCCCATTAAGCAATTTAAAAATGATAGCTCACAATGTTTATTTTCATTCTCGTTCGTAAATTTGATGTGCGATGAAAGTGTTTTGATCCGTTTAGAAAAAGATCTTCGACGAGTCTTTTTTATCATAACAAAGGTGTCATCTATATATCTAAGCCAAATTCGTGGTTTAATGTCATTGGAGAAAATATTTGATTCTATGTGTGCTATAAACCGGTTGGCTACGATCGTTAGTTTGTTTATATAAAGTCCCGTTAATAGTTAATAGTGGCGAATTTAAGTAGTTTTAAGGATGCTTAAAGAACATTTGTCAAAAAGAGTATTCTCGTTCTCTAGTAAATCACTAATGAATTCTAAGCATTTATCAATGGGAATACTAGTGTATAACGAAACATCATAGCTTACCATGATCTCGATATTTTATATTTAAAGTCATAAGAATCTTTAATCATATTATGTAAGTTGTAGTGGCTTTGATATTTTGCTCAGATATTTCGATAATGCGTATGTTGGTGTGTTTGTGAAGTCTACTATAGGTCTTAGAGGGATGTCTGCTTTATGAATTTTGGGTAAACCATAAAAACGTGAAGTATTGCATGCGTTGAGATATAGAGCACACTATAGCGAGATACTAATGACTAGTTTTAGTCCTTTCAAAAGTTGACTTGTTTCTGATTTGACTTTATTTCTAGTCGTTAAAGGATTTTGGGGATCGATCTTTTCATATGGTCCTGTAGAGATGTTCAAGAGCTTTATTAATATAATCTTTTCTATCCATGACCACTGTTAAGTTTCCTTCGTCAGCTTTTGTGACTATAATAGTTTTGTCTTTTTGAAGTGAATGTGGAGCCTTCAATTCTTCTTTTGAAATGTTAGGCGTAAGATGTTTATGTTTAGTCAGAATATGAGATGTCTTTCGACGTAATAAATGGAGTTCTGTGAGACAGTTTTTAACTAATGGCACCGTAAGTTGGTTGCACAATAAAGCCAATTGACTACAGTTAGATAATTTAAACGATTAGTTGATGACTTTCAAACACTCACTATGATCGAAAAAACTCCCATTCACCGACTAAACTCCAGAAAATTAGAAATGACTGAGATATATCACTTATTATTGAACAACTTTATAGAAGTACTATGCGTAAAACCCAAATCTACTTGTAGCTGCTCTAGATTTACTGCCGGTCTCAAGTCCGAGAAAAGAAGGAGAGTTGGGTATAGGTTTAGAGATATTTCATAAGAAAGATTCTTGCTAGAAAACGCTAACCATGAGAAAACGTTCTATCCCGATATGTAGAAAAGTGTCGTACAGGTGGAACATATCTATTTCCGGATACTTCTAAAGTTTGCTGACGGGTTCTGGGTTCGAATCTCGCAGGAAGCTGGATTATGGATGAGCGCTGCTGAGGAGTCCGGTGCTTCCATATTCTCCATGGTGGTCTAGCTTTAATTGACTCATAAATTCAACCATTGAAAATTTTTGTTACTAAAATACATTCGTTGTATGGATTATGTTACACAGTCGGAAAAGTTGTTTGCAGTGTCGAATACTATGTCAAGCTCACATGGGTTATTCTAGCTTCCATACAGATCAATTAATTATTGAATAGCATCGATCACTAAGCCACAAGCACACCAAGAGGATTCGAGCAAAAAAGCTAATGCGCGCAAGCGAGCGAATACAAAGGAGGATCAATTAATAAGATCTAAGCACATACATATTTATGGCAAAGCAAGGAGAGTGAGTCAACACATTTTTATAAAGCGAGATTCAATATTCATAGCCAGACAAAAACAAACTGCTGACACGTAATGAATAGGGTAAATAATACGCACACTTACGCTCATATAAGAACAGTCAATGTTAATGATTGAATAAATGACAAGATTGAAGTATGGCTCCTGAAGACTGAACCAGTCGGTCTGTACGGATTCTAGAACAACCCATGTGGGCTCGACATAATACTAGACACTATATGTTCGATACTGTATTACCACAGTGTAATCAACAATTCAAATAACACTAACAAATCTCCAAAATCTCGAACGAACTCATTTCATATTAGACTTTTACAAAATAAACATTTTTCGGTAAAATATTTTGCTCAAAAGTTTGAAGATTTTCCCAGTCAAATTATACGACAGTTTTGTAACTAAAATTTTGTTTTGAAATTTAAACTTATCAATAACTTAATGGTCCAATTACTAGTTCCCTTCCCTTCCTGTAAATTTTATTGCATTATTCAAGTTACTGAATAATTATATCTAAATCAGGTTGCTTAATAATAATTGTTTTCATCGACACAACCAAAAATTTCCTGTTTTAGGGACATTTTCATTATTCTAAAAGAGAAGTAATCCGAAAGCCACTAGAAATTTATAAAATATTGTAGTATGACAAAAAGTGGTTTAATCAGATATTAATGCTTAAATCAGTTGACGGATGAAGCAGAAATTTATTTACTTCAGATAATGATTAATGCTGAGGCATATTCTAAATACTTTTTAACTGTGATACTTGTGTGAGTTGTTGAACTAATCACAGTAAACTACGATAGAGGTGGCTTGTTTGATTATCTAGACTACCCATTCCTGCCATCTGGATATTTCAACAAGTCATATTTTTGCTTGTTTGTTTTAGCATATCATTATGCCTATTAGTCTCATAACCTATTCAGGTGCGTTTGTGAAAAGTTTACATTTCACTGTACAAGTTACATAAAAGCGCAATCAGAGACATCGTGGTTACTGGTTATATGCATCGAAAAGAATATACACTATTCAGATGTCGAGTCCTGAACTACTAACATCTGACTGGCGACCACTCAATATTTATCGCAAGGATTGATCAAGAAATGTCCCAAACTTAACTTATCCATACATTTAAACATTAAAATTAAAACACGAATTTCAGCGAAGAGATCTCTTTTCAACGAATTTATTATCAAGCTGTACAATCGTATATATCTGAAAAATTTTTTTGATTTTGTAAAAGTACTAATTCCGTGAGGAAATGTGAACACAGTTAATAAAAAGGTTATAATACTAGATTACGTAATATGAATAATAATAATACCAATAGATTTAGTGATTATAATAAGATGATTAAAATGTTTTTGTTATAATAATAATAATTAAAGGTCATAGAGGTGTAAAAATAAATAAATAAATATGGTGATATGATGGGTATTCACTAATAAAACAATCAGAATATAAGATATAAGTAAAGGGGAGAATGCAGTAATAATAATAATAATTGGATAATCAAAATACTTAAAGCCAAGGTAACGATAACGATAAGACGTACTTCTTTTGTATGCATAGTTCTGGTTTAAGCTCCTGGATGGTAAGAGCTTCGGCTATTTTTAAAAGTTGGATGCGAAGAAATCTGGGTAGATTTGAACGAATCATATAAACAATCTTAAATTCATTTCTTGGATCAGTGGAATGGTTACAGTCGATTAGGTGTTCAAGTATAGAACTCCTAACTGCTTTCCTTTCCCCCTTGTAGAACCAAGCCGGAATATGTTCCCGTATCCGAGTTGAAAGCGAGCGCTGGCTACGGCCAATGTACCTTGCTCCACAAGAGCAGGTGAACTGGTAGATGCACATAGAGGCGACCAGACGCGGAAGCTTGTCTTTTATGGACACGGAAAATAAGTTCCTACTCGTGAACGTTATTCGCAATTTAGCTGCATTAAATGTTCGTCTAATAGTTGTTGTTAGACGATTTTTGATTACTTCTGATGTTCGATCACCTTTAAATTCCAGACTTATATAAAGGTTTTTCTTCGTAACGGAGCAACTAGGTTTCTTGTCACAACTACCTCTATTCATATTCTTTTCTATGAACCGTTCTGGGTATCCATTTTCCGTTAGGGTTTTCTTGAGGAATTTCAGTTCTTCGTTAATGCATTCTTTACTGCATATCTGACGTATTCGATAACATAAAGAGTGGATGAGATTTCTCTTTCTACTTAACTGAACCCAGCTATAGAAGTTAGTTAGCTGTCCATTCCATTACTCCTTCTCATCAGACGTACATCGAGAAAAGGTATTGATTGGTCCCGTTCCCTTTCTAACGTGAAGTCTATAGAAGGGTGGCATGAGTTAAAGGTGTTTAAAATATCCTCTTATTTATTTATTTATTTGAACACATAAATATTGGTACAAGAGAGCGCCAATATATATGCGCCACACAAAACAATGAAAATTCGAAGAGAGATAGAAAAAAAAACAAAAAAAAACTAAGGACCACAAAAGGTAGTGTGGTCGTAACGATGGAACAGAAAGGTACAATCAGAAGAAATCTTTCAAGTAAGGGAGACACAACCACTATTATGAAGAAAGTAAAAGAAAGTTACAGCAGGATCGCCACTGGCTTCTATTCTGAGCCATATCTGATAACGTCTCTAGCCACTGTGTAGCACCATCTCTCAGACCCCAACCAGGGAGTCGTGAAGGACCGACAGAAGCCAGTCCTTTGCAGATTTCTTTCATACCACGACACCATGTCATGCACTGACCACCTCTCCGCTTTTTCCAACCAGTCCCAGAGTCGGCAAATAATGCACGACGTGGAATTCTCTGGGACGACATTCGTAGAACATGTCCAAGCCACCGAAGTCGGTGTTTCAAGATGGTGACACCAATTGAATTATCATCTCTGTGCCCAAACACACGATGCCGAACCTCTGCATTACTGACATGGTGTTGCCACTGAATATCAGCAATCCTTCGGAGACAGCGATGATCGAACACAGAGAGTCGTCTAACGTCCTCGACTCGGAGAGGCCAGGTTTCACAAGCATAGAGCAAAACTGCTCTCACCGACGCGTTGTGGATCCGACCTTTTACAGCCAGACTAACATCACGAAGGCGCCAAAGATGGCCCAGATTGGCATAAGCCACTCTGGCTTTCACTATACGTGCATTGATCTCATCACTCACATCCCCACCAGCACTTATGCAGCTACCCAGATACACGAACTTCTCGACTATGTCTATCTGCTCACCATCCAGGGTCACTACAGGATTGGAATCCTGCCAGTCTTGTAGAAGTACTTTGCACTTCGAAGGTGCAAAGCACATACCATACCTACGGACACTGATTGCCAACTGATTAAGTGCGGATTGCATGCCTTGGGCATTATCGCACAGTAAGACAATATCGTCCGCATACTCAAGGTCGAGAAGTCTTTCTCCAGGCAACAGATCCACACCACCATTACTTACATTCATCAGAGCTGTTTCCAGAATGTCATCGATGGCAAAGTTGAAGAGGAATGGTGAGATTGGGCAACCCTGCCTAACCCCACTACTCGTATAGAACAATGGAGAGAGGTGGTTGTATGCCCTCACTCTGCCTGAGGTGTTTTTATATAGGGCTTTTAGGATGTTAATAAACTTCTCAGGCACACCCTTCTTCAATAGACAATCCCAGAGAACAGTCCTGTCCAACGAATCGAAGGCAGCCCTGATGTCAAGAAACACTACGATTGTTGGCCTTTGATAAGTATGGCGATGTTCTAACATTTGGCGGAGGGTGAAGATATGATCAATACATCCTCGACCAGAACGAAACCCAGCCTGCTCCTCGCGAGTCAATCTTTCTCGGGTTTTGAACAACCTACGAAGTATGACGGAAGCCAATAGCTTGGACGCAATCGGAAGTAGACTTATCCCCCGATAGTTGTTGCAGGAACGACGTGAACCCTTTTTAAAGATAGGGACAACTATCGACTCATTCCATGACGTTGGTACACTCTCTAATTCCCAAACCTTTGTAAACAACGTCGTCAATTCCTTAGTCAAAAAGTCACCACCATCTTTAAAAAGAGTCGGAGGTAAGTCATCTGGGCCAGGTGATTTGTAACGCTTCAAGAGTTGGAGTTCCTTGCGGACTTCCTCCTCGTTTGGTGGATCAGTCGTCACCGGCCATGGAGGGCAGGACAGTCTGACCGATGTTGCCGGAGCAGCAGGCCAGTTGAACTGCCCTTCGAAAAATTCTGCCCATCGTCCAAGACGTCGATGGTTGTTAATGATTGGCATCCCATCATCCTCGCAGATTGTTTCACTCACACCAGACTTCTTGCTGCCAGTGGCTCTGATGAGCTGGAAGAGCTTCCGGTAGTTACCAGATGCAGCTGCTGCCTCCAGCTCATTAGCACGCTCCGACCACCAGGCTTCTCGGTCCTTACGCAAGCTTTGCCCAATTTCCCTACGTAACATCCTTCGTTTATGGTCAAACTCACGGTCACCCGGAGTGGACCGACGGGCTTCAATGAGTTGTAAGGAACCAGAAGAAACCCAGTGCTTAAAAGCGGGACGTTTCGCAAACCCACAACTGACTGTTCCCGCCATTTTCATGGTGTCAAGCAATTGTAACCAATGCTCATCTATACTTTTCGGTGGAGTGGTAGCTAGCCTAGAGGCTAGCTCGGTTCGATACTTACTTGCAACAGAAGTTGCAACCAACTTGCTGACATCAATCCTTTGGTGGTGGTCACTTCGTTGTCCACTGAAAAGTAAGGCGAGATTGGCGCAGACCAAGGCATGGTCAGAGTCCAGATAGGTACTCCAAAAGGAGCGGCAGTCTTGCACACAACCACGCCAGCGGTAGCTGATCGCAATGTGATCAATCTGAGTCCAGGCTTGGGATGCAGAGGGAGGACGCCAGGTGGCACATCGGCGATGACTGTGCCGAAAGTTAGTGCTAGCCAGAAACAGGTTGTGGTCTGTGCAAAGTTGCAGTAGACGGTCCCCGTTATCTGACCTGCGACCAACGAGTCCCCATCGGCCACCTAAACGACTCTCTTCTGTGCCTAGACGCCCGACCTGAGCATTCAAGTCTCCGGCTAGTACTACAATATCTGTCGAACGCACTTTCTGGAGAAGAACAGATAACTGGTGGTAAAAATCATCCTTGATTGCATCCGGGCTGCAATCTGTCGGGGCATAGGCGGAGATGACGAAAAGACATCGTTTCTCACGCCGATTTCTTCTCAATTTGATGGAACTTTCTAATCTAACAGCACATAGCCGACTGTTAATGGGGATCCAATCAACTAGTGCTGCCTCAGCTCTAGCGCTTAGTGCGACACCAACGCCAGCAAGACCAGAAGAAGATGCCACAGGGTCCCCGGATAAGCGCACGTAAAACAAGCTTTTCGAAGCGACAGATGGAGATCGAATTTGTAGTACTTCGCCAGAGTCTTGAATACGGGTCTCGGATAGACAACAAACATCAATATTAAGACTTTCCAAAGACATAGCCAGCCCTATCTGTTGTCCGACCTGCACTAGTGTGCGGACGTTGAAGGCAGCCAGTTTGAATGGTGCACGTGGTTTCAGAAAAACTGCCTCAGTTCTCGTAATCAGTGGTAACATACAATTTTCAACCGGACAGTGACTCGAGAACGTTTAGATACAGTCGAATTTCCACCAAAGACGAGCCGCTGTATAAGTATAAAAGAGGGTGAATAATGTGGAAAATAATAATAATAATAATAATAATAATGACAATAATGGTATTAATAATGACAATAATAGTAATAATTATTTGAATCGATTGAATGTTGATCGGAGCGAGGAATTTAATTGCCATGGTTATAGAGTTCATGGTTTGTGTGTGGGCTGTGATACTGCCCGGGTGCCCAAACCGAAGCAGGTGGTTATCTTAGGGGGCCACACCCCGAGCCTTTGACCTAATGGTCTAACCCACAAGGCAGTGGAGCATCGTAAGGAGATGCAATCCCATGGTAGCCGGTGACCAACGATTGGTTCATACGCCATTTGTTCCCGCAGGATACTGGAGCCCATGTGCACCATTGCTTTGTGATCCGGTTAAAGCGCCGGACGTTCGCTTTTCGTCCTCTCATTTTCGTAAACAACACCCCCGCCACGAGAAGGCAATGAGTAGGACTTCCCTGGCAGAGGCTGTATACGCGCGGCCGTGTAAGAGTATTTCGAGAGGGAGAGCGGACTCTCCCCACTCTCGGCCGTACCAGGGCGTTCGGGGGCAAAATATCCTCTAAATCAATATTATTGTCACAAACGATGAACGTGTCGTCCATATATCTAACGTACAGGTGAAATTGACTGATCATTGAGCTTAGTTGGTCGTTTTCTAGTTTTGCCATGAAGCAATCTGCTAAAATCGGACCCAATGGAGACCCCATTGCGATCCCATCCCTCTGTCTATATATTTCATTATTGAAACTAAACTGGACATTAAAGGTACAGCGTAACAATAGTTCTTTCAAGTGTTCAGTCGGCAGACCTAGATCTATGTTGTTGGAATCAATATACTCACATATATAACATATCGTTTCGGTTAAAGGTACGCTAGTGAATAAAGAATTAACGTCAAGCGATAACATGTGTTTTCCGGAAGTATTAAGGTCCTTAATACGATCAATAAATTGAAAAGTATCATGAATAGAAAATTTAGATACTTGCCTTCTAACCGGTTCCAATATTTCCGCTAGCCATTTGGCGATTCTGTGGTATGGTGAATCCAACATATCCAAAATAGGTCGTAACGGTAAACCCGGCTTATGTACTTTCGGTAGTCCATATAAGCGCGGGTTGATTGAACCCATGGGACGTATGTGATTATATAAATCTTGGGTTATTAACCCCTTATATACGATTGTACAGCTTGATAATAAATTCGTTGAAAAGAGATCCCTTCGCTGAAATTCGTGTTTTAATTTTATCCACACATCTTACCATTTTCATTATTCTCTTTATCATTATTATTATCTTTACACTTGATAACATTTTGAGGAATTTACTGAATATTCACCCCTAAATCTACTATATCTGACTTAATTCAAATTATTCTACATATTACGTTATTTCTGAATTTTATTCCATTATTTTCCCTCTCACCCCATGTTGACCATTTATCGCACAATTTCATTTCGCTTATAAACTGATTCAAGTTAACACTTTATATTAAACAGCCCCAACATTAACAATCTGAATTGATTTTATATAACAAACAACAATTCTCAATTCACATATTACAACTTCCAAATGATGTACTCTGCCTTAAATCTGGCCAATTTTATGGATTATTAATTTGGATTTATCATTGTAGAACCTGATGAGAAATTATTGAAAAGAATATCCTTCGTTCATATAAATTGTGTTTTAATATAATGGGAATATTTCAGCAATTAAAATAAGAAAAGAAAACTCATTGAAATGCTTTGTGTTGAGAATTCTATATTGTACCAAAAATATAATATTGAATAAGGTTACTACTAATAATAATAATTAAACGGTGTTCTTACTGTAACCTTTTTATGTTGCTTAAAACAGAAAGCTGAACGTCTACTGTATAATATTATTTTGGCACCAGACCATTTTTAGTTTTCTGATATTTTCGAAGACACATGCGCTGTTCAGCGCAATCCATTGCTTGTCAATTTAATAATCTGCTTGTTCATATTGGATAGGTATACTTGAATTAGTCACTGATTAATACTTAGATAAAATTTTGTCTTTGAGTCACTAAGTTGGAATATTATCGAACAACTTGTTTTGTATTGACCGATATAAAATACGAAAGCTTAATACCTAGCGTTATCAGTCTAGTCATCCCGTTTCACTTCCTTCCATTGTAAGGGTAATCGAGAATTGTTAACCATCCGAGCAGTTTCGATAACACTGCAGTTTGTTTTGATCATAGTCAAACTCGTTCTTTGTGTTCTAATATTTCTTCTGTGTCTCTTAACAAAATACTCTTGTCATATCATAAAACCTGGGATACCGATCGTAAAATAACCAATATTAAAGCATTAACCAAGTATAACAAGTGATACAATAATTTCAGTACAGTTCAGTTCACTGAGTATGTATTATTTTATTAATTATATCACAAAATATAAAATAATAAATCTATAATAATGTATATATTTGAGCAGAAAACTACAATCAACATTCAAAATGATCATAAAAAAAAAGAACAAGAAGAGTTAAACAACACTGTTGTATAAAAAAATAGCAAATCGTCGCAGAATAACACATGGGAGGGAAGAGTAAAAAATACATTGTGATGATAATGATTTAGGTAATAATGACGATGATTCTAACAATAATGTTACTAGATATCTTCTTTTATTTTCATTTCTTTATTTAACAATTATAATATTGGTTGTTCCGTAACGTCTAAACTGTTATAACGACGTAAACGCAGTGAATAATACCAAAAAACTAGAAGCATTATTACAGAGGAGATTGCTGCACCGACAAAGATAAATACAATTGGATGTAATCGATAATTTACGCTATCCGGTTGATCTGTTGAACATTCTTTATAAAATCTATCAGTACTCAATAATAATGGTTTAATTTGTTCTAATACAAGATTCACAGGACAACCATTGTAACCAGGTTGACCTTTACAAGCTGGTAAGGTTAAATATTCACCAGTTTCATCAGTCCAACCTTTTTTATACAACAATTTTATACGATAATCACTTTCTTTGCTAGATTTATCTGGACCATGTAATTCTAGAATAACAGTAGATGCATAATTAATTGTTTGATTATTATATACACCGAAACCAGCTAAAATATAAGTTACATCAGTATCATGAGCTGAATAAATCATCATATGTTCGGTGGATAATTTATATTCATAAGTTAAATTCAATTGTTCCCCACGTATAATAGAATGTATATGTTTAACGAATGTGTCTAAGAAGACACCAATTTCCAATCGAATGATATCATCTGAAGAAGAATATTTTTTCTGACGAAAAAAAAATAGACATTTACATATGTATTTGATATTATCATCAGGATAATATAACTTACTTTATTGTGTCGCAGGAATTTGAATATTTTAAAATTTACGCAGAAAAATATACCATTATGAATGATTTTCAGAGATTTTTCCAAATGATGGAAACGAGCGACTGAAGGCTAACATACGTAGCTCAATCACAAATGATCAATTAATTAATTAGTAATTACTATTTTATGAGGTTAAATGGGAAATGTTTCATTGATATAAAGAAAAATAAAGACATTGTATATGATAAAACAAATCAGACAAATGTATTATACAGTAAATAACGTTAAATATTGACTTCAGTCAATATACAGGGTTTTGTACACCTTGATATAAATTCTGACAAATTTTGCAGTACCAATGTTCGATCTGTTCGACATTTGTAGGAAGGTACTAAGTTGGAACTATTTAAAAACTATACAATTAAAACCCTGTAAAAAGCTGCTTCCAAATTTTGCAAATATTAAGAAAGAAACGATTATCAAATTCTTAGAAGCTGTGTTTTAGTAGTAAGAGTACAAGATTTTCAACTGTTAGCTTACATGTCCGAATCCTGCTCCACGTACTGCCGTTTAAACGGTTCGGTATTATTCTTAGTCTTCATGCAACACACGTGTTACTAAAAATCGATTAAATAAATCTGCACTTTGTACAAATCACAGCTTTTTCTCTTATACTTATGTCAAAATATATTGAAAGAAAATGTGATTACTGCAACTTTCAAATGGTTCTAATCATATTTCAACTATTTCAAGCGATCAAGGTTCATAACCCATTAACGTTTGACCTCTAAATTCTTCAATTAGTTATTCAACCATACATACATATTACTTAGACGACGAGATCGAGATACAAGTAATTTAGTAATTAAGGGAAAGTTCATGTACTCAATGATGAGTAAATTAATTTTTGTGGAGACTAGTTACACTATCATGTCGCCCATACTAAAGTAAGTAAAAGAATTTTAAACTAACAGTCCAGTGGTTGAAAATCGAGTTATTTAACTAGTAAACCATCAATCCATTGAAACTGAATGAGAAACTTATATATTGAGCTAAACAGGTAACAGTTGAGTATATTAAAAGTTCGAATCCGTAAAGAATAATTTTAATATGATAAAAGCTCATTAACAATTACGTCACAATTTTTGTTCAGGCAAATTACCAAGTTTTTGTTTAGTGAAACTTCTAAAGTAATTCGTCACATTAGAATGACTATCTGGACTTGGTAGCTAAGCGGATAACACGCTGCTATTTGAAGCGAAAAGTGATGGGTTCGAATCCAGGAGAGAGTATTAATTTCGAGACAGAGGTAAATCCAAACGACGAATTCCAGATAAAACGAAACGCACGTCCTGGATCCCATTGTTAGTCACTACCCATCTCTGCCTAAAACTGGTTAACTTAGATTTACTATTATATAGTTAATTTTGTAGAAATTATCCAATAATCATGTGTTAAACCGGAAAATGAGAGATGATCGGTTCACGACGTAAGATTATGAAGAGAAAATTAACGTACGCTAATGTATCAAGGATACCTGTGTATAATTCAGTGACTTTGAATATTATAAGTACTTGTTCAAAATAGAAGCTAGTATAGAGCCACAATGTTCTCTAGTCGTCTTAACAATAAATTAACGGACAGAAAATGAACGAGTTACCCTGATTACATAACTGTTAGTGGGACATAGACCGGATTAAAGCATGCTCAATGCATAATTTAGAACAACATATATAAGCGAACAATATTGTTTTCGATTAGATCCTCATCAGGCTTTACTCTAATATACAGTAATATTTATATGCATATACGAAATTATTAAACCAATCAAGGTAGTTTATAAGTCAATGATAACAATGAAAACGATTACATAATAAGTAAAATGTGAAAAGTACAAATTGATGGTGTGACAACAGATGCATTAATTTTGATAAGAATAATAAAGGTTCAAATCAATGTTACATAATCTGAAATAGGTCAATGATTATAAAAATATAGAAACTGAGATAACAAATATAAAATTATAAGATGACGTAATAAGAAATGTTCAGATAATTGGATCATGAAACGTATAGTTGAGATAAAATAAAGTGGTAGGAGGGTGTGAAGAAAAATAATAAACGAAGAGAAAGTTAGAAAAGGAATAAATAAATAAATTCATTTATTAATTAAGGCCAAGGGAGAGATAAGGGAGTTACAAATTTCTTCTGAACACAAAGACTTGGCTTGTTGGTTCGGATTCCCATAGCTTCTGCTATGTGTAAGAGACGAGATCGAACACCACAAGGAAAACTAGTGGGAATACGATAAATAACTTTGAACGACTTGTTTCTGTCTACTATATGACCGCTATCGATCAAGTGTGATAGAACCGGGCTGCGTATTGTTTAGACGTAACCTTTTCCTAACCACGATGGGAGGTGTTCACTAACTCGTTGGTTCAGTTGCCTGGTAGTGCGCCCAAGATAGCTTTCTCCACAGGAGCAGCTGAATTCGTAGATACACATAGAAGTGGCATAACTGCCTTGGTGCACGCTGATTGGGTAAGAATTAGCCAATCAGCGTTAGTCAATACTTAGTGAACACTAGAATCTCATGTAAAAACTATAAATATACTAACGTTTTCCCTATTGCATTTCTTACTTGCTTCTTACTTCACTCTAACCTTGTTATTTGGAATATAACCTCTTTCCTGTTCAACCGTGTTTTGATTTGGGGACTTGCCGAGTGAGTCAGTGTCTGAGAATACTAAGCAATAGGAATAGATGGGTTATAACAATAACTATCTAGCGTTTATAGTCGGGAAATATTTGTTTTATGTATCTTGAGTGAAAGTATGTCTTCTGGTTTGCTCACACTCTCAGAATGAATAAATAACTGTATATTCGATAATACATAAGCAAATAACCTAATCACATATATCTAATTGTGGGAAAAAATGCTTACCACCCAATAAAATCTATTGACTTCATGTAATTCTGCTAAAAAATCATCTGTACACCAATCAGGAAGGGTAATGTTATGAGCAATCATACATGTAATAAAATCGGATATGGACCATACATTATGACGATTAACTGGACCAATACCAGCGACATCAGTAAGTTTGACAAATAAATTTGAGTGATTTTTCTCAAATTCAATAGATGGTTGACTATCCATTTGTATACGTTGTAACGAATCCCGATAAGGACATGGTGCAACACCCAAAAGTGTATCTGTTACCTGTAAACAAAAATGTAAGACAATGTACGCCGGTATTGACAATAATTAAGAGGTATATCATAATGAATACATTTGGAATATCACACAGCCACAGTGGTGTAGGCTAACGACATTCACCCACTAGACTACAGCATCACTTACTCTTATTTATATAGTTTGAGTATTTGAGGTCTAAAAAATATTGTTTCATATTTTACAACAGTGACATATACAGACAAGTGTTACTTACAGAAATTAATTAAAATGTCAACGATCGATTATAGTTATATCGACGATGAATATTAACTTTAGTTAGAGATGATAGAATGTAATGTAATTCGTTAGTTAAGTGGAATGAATAACAAAGTATGATACTTCATTACCCCTAAAGTTCATAGTTATTTTATTTTTCTTATACATTAGTACCCTTATACTGTATTTTGTGCGCGATAGTAACAATATAAGTAGATAGTGATATTTTGTAAATAAAATGGTGACATGGTAGTGAAATCATTCAACTTCCAACCTCTAAGTTAATGGTTCAAACTCCAATTAGATTTTATTTGAGTAATCAGGTGATATTACTAGCCCTTATAAAATGTGTAGGTGAAAGATGAATACACAAAATTAAATAAATTTATTTTATAATTTTGAATATTGTGAAAAACTGGCCAAAACTTGATTATTTAAATCAAGGTAAGTAAATGGAGTTTGACAACTACTTACGAGTATTATTTCATTGTTGTATATATATATATATAATTGGAAGGAAATTTCTCCGCTCGAGTTGTTCTTTTTACCACATGTAAAAATGAGAATTTTCACTATACTCAAATGCTCTGAGCAGACGTTTGTGTCAAAGGTTCTCCAGGAATATCTGAAGTACAACCCAAGGCTCAGTGAAGCGACGGCAAATATTGATTTTATCAAGGAATGCATGAAAAACAACTTGCATTCAAAAGTATATTAGAAATCGCTCTACAGTTCGATTAAACTGAAAAACTCAAACGTTATGTATTAAATTAAACCAATTCTCTAAATTTATATATACTGAAACACTAAAATATTTCAATCGGTTTACGCTGTGGAAGAGCTTCTTAATTAAGTAAAAGAAAAATTTTTGGACTATGTGGTTGGCACAAGAAAAGAAACGTGTGAAACTAAAGGAAAATCTAGACAAATATATTCCAGAAATGATACTCACATCTAAACCAGGCCAGTATGTACACAATTTTCCCAGTGTTAAGCTCAATAAGGCCGATTTAAAAGTGTTATCACTAGATAAATAAGCGTTTAAGAGTTTCTATAGACACTTTTTGTAGACACACTTTGCATCAATAAAATAAAGATGGACATAAAAACTGAAAATGAGAAGATACCTTTTTGATTTATGAGATACAGCTAATATATAGTTATTATTGATGATATAGCTTCACTTCGTTAAGATGATAATAGAAATACTATTATGACGAAATAAGCACTCATTAAGATGCAGTCACAAACAAGGTATCACCTATTGCTGTTTTAACAGTGAAACAAAAGTTTAGAATCCCGTTACATGATCATGATCTTAGAGTCATGTGAACAGCTTTCGATTTACGTTTCCTGAATCTTATTTGAAAATATGAGTTTTTGACTTCTGAAAGTTAACACAAAATTCGGTTGATATACATACAGATACAAAAACCGAGCTCTCAAAATTAATCTTCAGGTTAACATAAAGTTATACTTACTTGAGGTTTTGTATGAACAGGTATGGGAAACCAATTGATGCCATAAGCGGACAGAGGAGAAGGAGACTGGTTATAAAACCCAGCTGCATTTGCCATTGCTGACATTAGAGTTCTATCGACATCCGTACTACGAACATGATAATAAGAACCGTTATATTTACTGGGAACAAATCCTTGATACTTTGATCGTAACCACTTCCCAAGAAAAAAATGCTGTTCTACACCTTTGTCTGTAAGCATGCCGAAGCCTTGCGACCAAGCAGAAGGAATTGTGTGTAAAATAGCAGGTATGTTAACGATTGGAGATCTGTCGCCATGTCGAAATAAAATATGCAGATGTTTGAGACTATCGTTTACGGAGTGATTATGAGAGGTGGGGGACAACTCTGGAGAATATGCTTCATTAGGAGGAAGCCTGAACCAAAACCCGAGAAAAATGAAGAGCATCTTGACCGAATAAGTTGATATACAGGTCATTTGTGCACACCTGTAACTGACCACTTGGTAGTACAATATCTACAGAGGGAAGAGACAGATCGCCATTAAAAATATTAATAATTACAAGAGGTTAAAACCTGAAATAATTTCCGACTACAGAATTAGGACGAAAGTGGACCCACTTAATGTTTATGATTTGTAAACTATGGGTTTTGAATAGTAGTAGCTTAAAATTTGATGAAATAATGGAGTTGAAACGTAAAATCCGAATACGTAATTCTCGCCATACAAAACCATGCTGGTGATGGAGTCGTACCCAAAATAAAAATGCCTCATTGAATGATTAAATAAAAAAGGAGTATTTCGAAGAGTGTTTAGATGCATGATGGTAATTCATTTCTGAAGCGGTAATTTGTGTATATACTTAATATTGAAAACGAAAATGTCAGAATAAAGATTAAAGTGTGCGTTTAGGGGTACAAAGAGAGGAACTTGATTGTGACATTTATATGCTGAATCAAATTTTGCATATGCGATACGAATACTATTTCAAACAATTAGGTAATGAATTTAACAATGACGAATTGATCACAATAACTTTATTTCTCTCCAGACATAACAAGCAGTAAATTAAAACCACACAATAGGAAAATCAAATGTGATCATAATCAAAGCGAATTTGTTTCCTAGATAAAAGTAAATTGAAGGTAACTATGGTTAATCCTGACATAACAAAACTCGATTATTTGAATTAAAACTGAGATATTTTGAATGCGTGCTGTTTCTTTTTCTCATGTGATTTGAAAATTAGTAAGCTATAAAAATATATTACCGCTTGAAAATTCCCTCTTAAATACAATTTGTGTTTACATCAGTATCACTGTCCAGATTGATGAACCACTACGTAATTTTCAACAGTTCAGCAAAATGTAAATACAAACGGGTGTTATGTAATATTGAAATGCTAACTTATATATTTATAGAACAAACTCTAATTACGTTAGCCGAATGCCAATCGGTTGAGATATAGCTAACACGTATGACAGCACCTTGTGAGTTAATTCACGACACTACACGTCAAAAGTATTTATCTAGGATAAATATTCACATCAATACCAGACGATTCCAACTATGTCACTTTGAATGTCACTAACAGCTAAGTTCAAAAGGGGATAAAGTCAGAAACACGTGTTAAATGTAAACGATGATTTTAATTTGAAAATATACGTCACAGCATTTCCGTTGGTATGGGAATAACCTGTAAACAAGAATTTTAAGCGTATTGTACACATAAAACAGAATAATAAGGGCGTTATTGAGTAATGAAGCAACTTACTTTACGTTAATCGGTAAATTTGCCCGTGAATGTTAGATGAAAGTAGTTTTCAATAGAAATCACTTCGTGATTTTATGACACTTGACACTTCAGTTCAAACTGCAATTGCTCTTGCTTTGCTTCTACTTAATAGTGCTAATTTTTAGTTTTATTTTATTTTATGGTTACTGTTTCAACAAGTCACTACCCATACCATGCAATCAGTTCAACTAACCTTTACAGGAAGTAACCTTGTACAAGCTACTAACGCTGACTGCTACACAAAATCTGGCAGTTACTTGTGCTATTAATAATAAACTTATTTGATTTGTAGATGAAAGATAAGAGGGGTTCTTACTATGTTGAAAGAACAAGTGTATAACACTACACAGAAACACTTAAATCTTGATGTGAGAAAAGACTGACACTAAAAATATTCTATATGAATTTTCAGTGGTAAATGTTTTATAGTGATCCAATTTGATTATTTTGGGCTTAAAATTTTTATCTTAGCTAACTGTAGCTATAATGAATCACGCTAGGTCGATATACTGACGCACATACGTAAAGCATGCATGTTAAATATTCTAGGGGACAACATAATGTAGTTTTACCTATCCCAGTAGATCCGCAGTCGTGTCAAATAAATCCGTTATTACCAGTATACTTGTGGTTAACAGGTCATACAGATGCAATTGCATTTGCATAATTATGGTGTATTACAATAGCCTGTAAAGTGGCAATATTAACATAGATTATTAGACTAAAAAAACATGAAATTAAAGACAAACATTGGTAGACATCAAAAGGTTTATCAGAAAACGCCGTAGAATTGACTAATTGCTCAAGAAAATTTTTAAAGCAATGCCATAGTTAGTATTATGGTTGTAAAGTAACGAACAGTTAGCCGAAATACAGTAAAGTGACCAGGGTATTTTACAAGTAACGGTTTACTGAATGAATATTTTGTAAGCCAGCTATGCTGTTAACTTAGAGAGACCTAACTGTGTGTGGAGCTTACAGTACTCGATTTGTTACGGTCATACGATCCGTCTTCAAACAACTTTGACATCTTATTTAGAATGCAGTCTTAGCTTCAACCAAAATTTCACTGAAGACAAAATAGTCTCAAGACACTATGAACGGTAAGATGGGTTTGATACGATGTATACAGATATTAAAAACTACAAAAAACCAGACGCTGACTAGCAGCGTCATGACAAGCTCACCGTCGTCCTAGAAACTCCAAGCGCAGAGACGACCTTCAGATTTAAAAACAAGAACTCCGTTCTTGACTTTATTTCGATATCCAACACATTTAAAACGACAAAGCAAATTAGGCGAAAAATAGCTAGGTGATCGTTGTTTTCGGCACGGTATTGTGATAAATAACCGTGACTTTTGAGTATGAACCAGTACATGCTCGTTTTACGAACAAGGAGTATTAGCTTAGAGTTCAAATGGTTCAAATGGTTTTGGATGGAATAGAAGAAGCTTTCGCTTAAAGAGCTTACGTATTTAATAACAGTGGATCATCGATGACGTTAGCTTGGAATCTAGATATATTTGACGATAGAAGAGAAAATATTGGTAAATCATAGTCCCTAAGAATATGTCAAAATTTCTCTTAAAGGACACCTGCAAAGTAGCTTGGATTAGCTCAGCCGGCATTTGACTACTGTTATGGAGTGACAGATCCGCCTATGTACCGTTATGTCATGTTGTGTCTCCAGTTTCCGGGTGTTACCTCTAAAGTTTGTGTTGAGACTAAGCTTCAGCAGGTGTTTAAGGGGATGTTTAGAAGTGTTAAGGATACTATGAGCCATTAGAAGATCACCTCTAAGACGCCTATACTCTAGTAAATGAAGGGTTAGTGTTTGGAGGCGCTCTTCGTAAGAATTAAACTTGAGTCTGCGAACTGATTTCGTGGGTTGCCTTTGGATACGCTCCAGAGTGTCCTTATCCTTTTGGAGTGAGGAATTCAACACTACGTTTCCGTACTCTATATGGGGACGAATAGAACTGTTGAAGATTATGTGGGAGTTTTTTCTGTCAAGCTGGCCAAAAATGCGTTTCAGTGATACCAGTGCAAGATTTATGTTCCTCAGATTTTGTCGTATTCAGATGCGACAATAGTTCTTTTCTGATCCATATTGCACATTCGAACCCCAGGATTTAGGAATTATTTTTCTCCTTCGAGTCGTATCGGCATTATTAGTTAACTGGAGAGTGGTTCAGGTTTTTGTTTGGTGTTTACCGTTCTTCATGACAAGACCCCATGTTTAGTATATTTACAGAATATTTTTGGCACTTGTATTACTAGATGACCCTCTTTAACTTGACTACGCGCATGTTGCGACTTTCAAGTCTAGTACGTCCATTTGAGCTCATCTATTTCTCTTTGTCTTAAAATGTACTATTCAATTCAACTATTACCATAATATCAATCTTTCATAGTTGTTCGCTGTTTTTGCCACTTGTTGGATTATAATTTTATTTTCAATTGATATCGTAAATGGATGAATGTTAGACCACCATTGAAAACCTGGAAACACTGGGTTGCAGCTTCGTCCTAACATAGGACTCCTCAGCAATGCACATCCACGATCCTGCACCAAAGGAACTATAACCCAGGACCTTTATTCCCCTGGGCGAACGCTTAACCTACAGACCACTGAGCTGACGTCCAACGGTATTATTGTCTGATTTCAACCAACCCACAATATCGAGCAGCCGTTCACCATTGATTTCATTGTGTAAATGTTTCTAAAATATACACGGCTGAACTCCACTGGTCACGGCTTCTCACTAGAACTACAGGAAACCCATCTCGAAGCTGTTCACCAGTAAGCACATGATCATCCCCACAATCCTATACTGATAATAAATTTATTCACAGCTAATACTTAGCCGTTCTTATGTAAACTATTTGTAAGAAAACAACCAATACAGATAATCAATCAGGGACACTCAGCAACTCAAAGAAGAGGTATTTCACTACCATCAGACTTGATTCATCGGACACAAACATCACTGATGGTACGTTGCAACTTAACACTTCAGTGACATAGACTGTGCTAAATTCTCCCAAAATTCATTTCTCTCTGTAGAACTCTTTGAATGAATCAGTTAGTATCAGGAAGGTTGCTATGAGTTACTATAAGCAGAGTCAGAAGGAACCGGCGGTGACCTTTGAAAATATTCAAAGCTCACGTATCAGGCGAAATTAATTCGGTGTTTCTGCCCATAAATGTCACCTAATCGGTTGAAGAAAGACGTTAAAATCCTGACAGCAACAAACTGTCTAATCAAAAAGATTTCAGTTTTAGCTAAGTTAAGTTTTGTAATATCACTCTGGCAATCGTAAACATAAAATACTACTCCAGTTTCAGCCACGGATTTTTATGACGAAAAGAATGCTTTGGATGAATGCTAACAGGGTGTACAAACTTCCTAAAGTTGAACTGTTAAAAGTCTCACGATTGCTCGAAGGACACCAGTCAGTGAAGATAAAGTGTTGATACCATCGGTCTTATCTAATCTTCTGTGTCTCAAACGCCGATATCCCATATTTGTGACCGTAATTATAGCTAGTGTCAATCACGCTGTATTGCGATCCATGATTGTTGCTCGAAATCACTGAGAAAAAACTATGAATTTCAGATAATATTTTCGCATATAATTGCTATTTTACATGGTCGTAGTTAATATTGTAGTCAAATGATTTTTATTGTACCAGTGTATGATGCATATTGAAATTAATGGGTAAATTCACTTCCTCTGTCATTATTCATTTTTTTATTTTGGTTTGGCAATTGGCGGCAGTTAATTACCCTGTATTTTGTCCTCATCGTGAACGTGGGACCTGTTGACGGAAAGTGGTTTGTGGGGTCTGATTCGTGTCGGGAGTGAATAAATTATCTACCTCAAGCAATGGGTGAAAGATTTCATACGATCGCAGATTGACTGAAGTTAAACATTAACACCGTTGGATGCGAGCTCAGCGGTCTAGAGGTTATGCGTTAGTGCGCGAGATCTAAGGATCTGAATTCGAGTGTCCGGGATCGTGAATGTTCATTAGGGAGAAGTCTCACACTGTGACAGAGCGGTCGTCCATTGTTTCCAGATTTTCAATGGTAAAATAAGTAAATGGATCCGTAGTCACAATGGCGATGGTTAGATAACAGCCTGATTTTCCGTGCATAACATGGCATCTGGATTAGACTCAAAATCACAATGCAACTGATTATCTCACATGTGGACCGTGGGAAGCAAACATTCACGAAGGGTTCAGGGACACCAAAATCGACGATCTTTAAGTAGGTGAGTTTCTGTCCCATTCACTTAAGTCTTATTTAGACACTAAAACAGGAATATGTGTCCATTCCATATCAAAAGCATCAATCCTTTATGTAAAAATCTCAAAGTTTACCAGATGAAGTAGACTAGTTACCTGAGCTAAGTGATATGAATAGTGCTCGTTTGATAAGAGTAACAGAAACACTAGTGTTAGATAATAATACTTCCAAAGTAATGTAGCTCGTATTCTGTATAGACTCTAGAGAATTGTTTTAGTATCTTCAAGTCACTACATTAAATTACGAGTCCTCATGTCTCTCATTTACTCTGATGGAAATCATGTCTTAAATGAAATAATCCATCTAAAGTGGCATCCAGAAATGCTCATGTCACGCATTATTTATTTATTTGTAATCTGAGTAATCGCAAAAAGTATTTTGGGGCCAGACAAAATGACATTATTACAAATAACTTCACAAACTAATGATTATAGATGAATAAATGTGTGAATTTCACAGTCAGTGAGTAGAAACGAGTATTTTCCATTCTGCATGGGAGGTTCGAACCATAGTTAAGAAAGCCACCATGTAACTTCTGCAAATAAGTTGATCATACTGAAGCAAGCCTAATAAGCGCAATAAACGCAAAGTGCTTTATACATTTATTTACACATACTTATTGTCATTTATTCTTCTTTCTGGTAGGTTATCATGCCACCCATAGAATCTGAAGGTATGGTTTTTACAATCCACAAGAATATAATCACATGAATGTGAAATGATCTACAAATTAATTGAAAATAGTTACTCTGCATGGAACTATTATTACGCCAACATTACATTTGGGAAACAGATTGATAATCTGTTACTTAAAAATCACATGGGCGTAGTCTTCTGATATATGGAAATGGAATACATGTTTTATCTTTATACGCTTCATATATCTGCGCTCTCCATAAACTTTATATCAATAAAAGATCATATTTTTAGCTCATTGCTTTACGATCATACAAGTTAAAGATAATATATTCTAGTTGCTTAACAGCATCACATTAACTTGTATCACTACTAGTTTTCAATCACACTATCCTTGCAGTCGAATATGAGATTATTGAAGAAACTCAAACTCAAGACTTGACACATAGAGGCCAAAGAAGGTGAACGCTGGAAAACTTGATCAGGATTGAATAGCTCGGCCATACAGGCGTAATCACTCTTTGTAGCCTCTTACTTCTCATATTAAATATATTATTCTAACCTCAGTCCAAATGTATTATTCGGAAGTCATCAACCGCAACCACTGAATGTCAGGACTAGATGAATCAGTATATATAATGATGTATCTTCCATGTAAAATCTTATAGATTGGATAGTTATATCGTAACAAATCTACAGTAACGAAACTGGTCTATTATTCTAATAGTATGCACTTCATACAGATTAGAATCAAAACATTACAATCTCACACGTTAGCACACTTATTTTCTCAAACACACTGAATTTAGATGGTTTTTGTCTCAGCATTAGGTATATTTTTAAGGCAGTCCTGAGACTCTATGGTAATGATTATATTGCATTTTGTGTTTATGAGATAAATTTTATACTGCAACATTATACTCAACCAACTTTTTAGATAAACTGAAAAGGTGTAACATGGTACAACGGGAACGGATGGAAGACGGAAAGTACCGTTGCCTGATTAAATGAATGTCTTCTAAAATAGTGTCAGTATCCTGATTTCTGTACTTTGCATACGGTCCAATATCTCATAAGAACCTTGTTAAGAATAATCATCTACACGCCTAGTAGTAAGGCAGTGAATTTGTGCTTACGTATCATTTAGAGGAGGCATCACAAAATTAAGGGAAAAGGCTACTATGTAGAACCAAAGCTCCGAAAATGGAGTAAGTCGGTCAGTTTTGAGAATCTCACTAGCGGTTTTGAAAAATGTGTGACGGGTATTGGGTGTTAGACAGTTAACCGAGAATCTCCTATTAAGATCAGAACATTATGGCTAGATAAACTACCTACTTTTTTTAACGTGAGAACTATATTTACCACTATCCTGTGTTAAGTGGTGAAAAGTTTATGTGTTTGAATCGGAATCCCACATTCCAATTATTCCACCATCTGTAAATAAAGACGTACCGTGTTGAAGATTATTGTATTTCTATACGGCTACGGGTGGATGCTAGAGAATACAATGACAAGAAATGGCCCAAATGTTTCTCAGAGCTGGGATTTTTTAAAAATGAGCACCAATTTTGAAACCCCCCTTATTTTAGTAAATGAGATATCGGAGTGTCGACCATCATTGCGATTCCAATCCATTATTTTTAAAGCATATCCGAAGGACTGAATTTAAATCTGAACAGAAATCTCGTTTTCTAACAAGTTCCATAATTGCAAAGACCAAGTTATTCTTCAAACGACTTGAACAATTGCTATTTATGTTGTAGTGACATTGAGTCTTAACCACACAGTCCTCAAAGCTGAACATGAAACAACTGGGAAAATAGATATTCAACACTCAGCGCGGAGAAAAACTAATTAATGAAGAAGCCGGATGAGTTCTTTCAAGTGATCGAATGGCATGGCTCGTGTTACGTCCAAGTTTTGCTCGTTCCAGTTATTGAAGTACGGACTATCGATCTATTTGCAAATTACGAACCCAAATTAACAACAGGACCAAGCTCCAATTCAGATACCAAATTTATTCGTAATTCACAAATAATCGACCAAATGTCGTTCTAACAACAATAATTATAACAATTACAGAACAAACCTTCAATTTTGTAGGTTCCCGGAGCAAAACTTCCAAATACCAAACCAAAGACAAAGAGAACACCAAAATACCAAACCAAAGTCAAACCAAAATGTCCGAAATAATGATATAAACAAACAAGTTTAAAAGTGAAGTAGAACAATTACATCCAAAAACACAGTAAATTATTAATGTACAATAAAAGGTTTTAATCCGCCAAATGTCTTCAGTTCTCCAGTAACAACTCGGCCTTGAAGGCATCGTCATACTTATGTAAAATAATTTTTATCCATACTAGATATATTGTTCAATCTCCAGACTAAATGTGTTCGTCATCATATATTGATGATTGTTACAATACGATGAGTCAAGGCAGATAATGATGTGACTTCCAAGTAAGATCTTATAGATTAGGCAGTTCCATCATGACAAATCTACAGTGTCAGTATTAGGTCTATTATTAGAGCGGTACTAAAATCATAGTAGACCATAATTCTATGAAGTTACAACAGCCGAAGATTCGTATCTCAAGGAAATACGTCCAACAGCTTTTTGTCGCTGCCAACTTCTGTCTTAATAAATAAATAATGCGATAGGTGTATACACAACCGACTTTTTGGCATGACTTTACAGTGTTAGATCTCTTTCCTCAACAGAACCAAAAGTAACTTTTGTGAGACGGTTTGACTGAGTACGTTCGGAGTTCACCTTATTCTGTAGAGCTCAGGAATGCTAAATCCTGTCACTGTTTCCTGCAGTAGCTTGCTTATTAAGGACTTAATTTGGCTTAGACACTGTTCAAGTCTAGCCCTTAGTTCTTTATCACGAGACTCTATTAACTCAAAAAAGTTGACTAACCTCTCAGTGAGATTCATCTTGATAGACTGTGTACTTTTGTTTCATAGAACACTCTCATCCTCATAATCCAATTTTGCATCGGTTGTGCAAGTCTCACTCTGTCCCCTTAATTTTATTGGTGTAACTGTAAGTCAATCATTGGCCTTATTTTGCCTCTCGGTAAAATCATCTACCGCACTCAGGTTTTGCTGCTGCATATTCTCTTTTGCTTTATTATGAGCACTTGTGGTTGAAACAGCTAACACACATATTTCAGAGATATCTGTAATTCGCTACTTAGCTTGCTTCTTTATTTTTCTTGCAACGGTGTCTAAACATGTGTATTTGTTTTCGGCTGTATCATAGGCATCCATCTCGATGGCTTCACTCATATCTAAAACTGGACTCAAGGGAACGCTCTCTACTTCCTCGAAAACTGACAGTTACTCATCTGCTAATGCCAGTTTATCTAAGAGCGACTTTCTAACTGTGATCAGCAGCTCATTCAGCTAAAAAATCAGAGGAAACTCTGTAGAGTAGCATGACCTGCACAGCCAACGTGATAGTGGCTGGCAACACCTTTTTTACTTAATCGGAGCGAGTCTAATACACACTCTGTGATACCACTTGTTACAGCTGTCACACCGTGTTCGATCCTCGACTGGAAAGAAGCATGCGGGTCTACCACATCAATATTTTGTTTGAGCCATTAAAAATATTAGATGATCTCACATAGAGGAAACACAATTTTTACTACTTATGAGTATTCATAGACTAAAATTCACTGCAGACTGAGCTCGTTCAAACGAATTTCCATGAATCCTTCACTAAGAAAATTAAAATATCGTTGAGGACTCAGAACGGTGTTTCACTGAAATTTACTATTTTTCTTTTTCGCGCTAAATACTCTCAAGTCACCACCTGAAGACATCAGCGATCCATGGAAGCCCCTTAATCGAAAGCATCTTCTATTCTGTCTGCAATCATTCTAACCATTCAAGTCATTGCGCTTTCTTACTGCACATAAGTTTATGTGCAACAAAGTAGTCTTTTCCGCCAATGGCCTTCAAAATCTACAAGCAAAATACCACACTCTTCGTTTGCCAAGCTTAAAAAGGCATTACTGGGCGAAATACAAACGAAGTGATAACAGCAATGGATACAGGAAGTTCGAAGAAATAAAGAATATATTGTAGGGATATTCAGGAAAATATCCCAGAAATTATCCTGTTTAGCCTAATGCTATTCTTGGACTTGAACATGGTGTTATTTTCTTATTGGTCAGTACTTATTTCACGTGTCATTTTCCTACTGGCCAATATTGTACAATGTTATTTTCTATTTTATGGTATGATGTGGTTTGTTTGATTGGTATATAAACAGAGTATGTTTGAAATATAATGATTCATATATCCGAGGCTGTGACTTGCGTTCTGGACTCAACTGCTGGGCTAGATAGGGAAGCGGGACCAATCAGAACCCTAGGTCGTTCTATGTGTCTGCGCGTCTTTGGTCTGATCGATAATTCGCAACCCTTTAATCTGCTACTACTGTCTCACAGTTATAACACAATAAGAGAGGACAGACTTCAGTACCAGATAAAGCTTATCGACAAGTTTGTCTCAAACCCAAGAAGCATCTATTCGACATGCCAAAACCGGAGTTTCTCAACTGCTGTGTCCTGATAAACTGACCAACATCGATGCTGACGACACTGGCATTCTGGCACAACAGTACCTCCTGACATTTCAACCGACCCATATCAGCTATATTGATGAAAGCTTCACCTGCAACCCCATATCACTTTCCGAAGTGAACCTAAGCGCTGAAGTGGTGTACCTAAAACTTCAGCGCCCAAAAAGAAGTACTTCTCTTGGTCCAGATATAGTCCATTCTGCTATACTGAAAAAAGCAGATTCAGTCTTGGCAAAACCGCTTAGCGTGAGGTTCCCACATTCGCTAAGCCGAGGCACATCACTTGAAAATCAGAAGCTGGCTCACATTACACTAATTTTCAAAGGAGGTAGACGCAGCAAACCTTCAAGCTACTGACCGGTAGTACATCTCTCTACACCTTCAAAAATTATAGAGCCCCTGATATGCGACTGTCCATAAACGTCTTTTCACCCCAACAGCATGGTTTCAGTAAAGGTCACTCATGTATAACTAACCTGATGGCCTCGGTGGATAAATGGAAAACCATTGTTGATCTCAAGGGGAATTTTGGCGTCATAGACCTAGACTTTTTAAAAGCTTTTGATGGGTTCAACAATATATTTCTTATCGATCAGCTCAAATGATTAGGTATCAACTTTTCCTTAGTTGATTGACTCACTTCATATCTTGAAAATAGATATTTTAAGGTCCGAGTGTACTTCACTTTCTCGTAGGATTTGAAATGTTCTGGTGGGGTCCCCAGAGTTCAGTACTAGGGCACCTTCACTTCTTGATTTATGCAAACGATCTTCCATAACAGGTATCGCCTGGTTTGTTACTTTTTGCTGATGATGTGGAACTCTGGGGAGAATAGCCTGGCAATCCATGAGGATCTGACTAGTCTCAAAGTTAGGCAGATGACAACGGTCTTACCTTTAACACTTCAAAGTGTAAAGTAGTTCATCTGAGACATGTTGTGAACCATAGATACAACATAGGAAAGTTCTTTCTAGAGGTATTCATAATCTGAAATAGGTCAATGATTATAAAAATATAGAAACTGAGATAACAAATATAAAATTATAAGATGACGTAATAAGAAATGTTCAGATAATTGGATCATGAAACGTATAGTTGAGATAAAATAAAGTGGTAGGAGGGTGTGAAGAAAAATAATAAACGAAGAGAAAGTTAGAAAAGGAATAAATAAATAAATTCATTTATTAATTAAGGCCAAGGGAGAGATAAGGGAGTTACAAATTTCTTCTGAACACAAAGACTTGGCTTGTTGGTTCGGATTCCCATAGCTTCTGCTATGTGTAAGAGACGAGATCGAACACCACAAGGAAAACTAGTGGGAATACGATAAATAACTTTGAACGACTTGTTTCTGTCTACTATATGACCGCTATCGATCAAGTGTGATAGAACCGGGCTGCGTATTGTTTAGACGTAACCTTTTCCTAACCACGATGGGAGGTGTTCACTAACTCGTTGGTTCAGTTGCCTGGTAGTGCGCCCAAGATAGCTTTCTCCACAGGAGCAGCTGAATTCGTAGATACACATAGAAGTGGCATAACTGCCTTGGTGCACGCTGATTGGGTAAGAATTAGCCAATCAGCGTTAGTCAATACTTAGTGAACACTAGAATCTCATGTAAAAACTATAAATATACTAACGTTTTCCCTATTGCATTTCTTACTTGCTTCTTACTTCACTCTAACCTTGTTATTTGGAATATAACCTCTTTCCTGTTCAACCGTGTTTTGATTTGGGGACTTGCCGAGTGAGTCAGTGTCTGAGAATACTAAGCAATAGGAATAGATGGGTTATAACAATAACTATCTAGCGTTTATAGTCGGGAAATATTTGTTTTATGTATCTTGAGTGAAAGTATGTCTTCTGGTTTGCTCACACTCTCAGAATGAATAAATAACTGTATATTCGATAATACATAAGCAAATAACCTAATCACATATATCTAATTGTGGGAAAAAATGCTTACCACCCAATAAAATCTATTGACTTCATGTAATTCTGCTAAAAAATCATCTGTACACCAATCAGGAAGGGTAATGTTATGAGCAATCATACATGTAATAAAATCGGATATGGACCATACATTATGACGATTAACTGGACCAATACCAGCGACATCAGTAAGTTTGACAAATAAATTTGAGTGATTTTTCTCAAATTCAATAGATGGTTGACTATCCATTTGTATACGTTGTAACGAATCCCGATAAGGACATGGTGCAACACCCAAAAGTGTATCTGTTACCTGTAAACAAAAATGTAAGACAATGTACGCCGGTATTGACAATAATTAAGAGGTATATCATAATGAATACATTTGGAATATCACACAGCCACAGTGGTGTAGGCTAACGACATTCACCCACTAGACTACAGCATCACTTACTCTTATTTATATAGTTTGAGTATTTGAGGTCTAAAAAATATTGTTTCATATTTTACAACAGTGACATATACAGACAAGTGTTACTTACAGAAATTAATTAAAATGTCAACGATCGATTATAGTTATATCGACGATGAATATTAACTTTAGTTAGAGATGATAGAATGTAATGTAATTCGTTAGTTAAGTGGAATGAATAACAAAGTATGATACTTCATTACCCCTAAAGTTCATAGTTATTTTATTTTTCTTATACATTAGTACCCTTATACTGTATTTTGTGCGCGATAGTAACAATATAAGTAGATAGTGATATTTTGTAAATAAAATGGTGACATGGTAGTGAAATCATTCAACTTCCAACCTCTAAGTTAATGGTTCAAACTCCAATTAGATTTTATTTGAGTAATCAGGTGATATTACTAGCCCTTATAAAATGTGTAGGTGAAAGATGAATACACAAAATTAAATAAATTTATTTTATAATTTTGAATATTGTGAAAAACTGGCCAAAACTTGATTATTTAAATCAAGGTAAGTAAATGGAGTTTGACAACTACTTACGAGTATTATTTCATTGTTGTATATATATATATAATTGGAAGGAAATTTCTCCGCTCGAGTTGTTCTTTTTACCACATGTAAAAATGAGAATTTTCACTATACTCAAATGCTCTGAGCAGACGTTTGTGTCAAAGGTTCTCCAGGAATATCTGAAGTACAACCCAAGGCTCAGTGAAGCGACGGCAAATATTGATTTTATCAAGGAATGCATGAAAAACAACTTGCATTCAAAAGTATATTAGAAATCGCTCTACAGTTCGATTAAACTGAAAAACTCAAACGTTATGTATTAAATTAAACCAATTCTCTAAATTTATATATACTGAAACACTAAAATATTTCAATCGGTTTACGCTGTGGAAGAGCTTCTTAATTAAGTAAAAGAAAAATTTTTGGACTATGTGGTTGGCACAAGAAAAGAAACGTGTGAAACTAAAGGAAAACCTATACAAATATATTCCAGAAATGATACTCACATCTAAACCAGGCCAGTATGTACACAATTTTCCCAGTGTTAAGCTCAATAAGGCCGATTTAAAAGTGTTATCACTAGATAAATAAGCGTTTAAGAGTTTCTATAGACACTTTTTGTAGAGAAAAGCATCAATAAAATAAAGATAAGATACCTTTTTGATTTATGAGATACAGCTAATATATAGTTATTATTGATGATATAGCTTCACTTCATTAAGATGGAAATAGAAATACTATTATGACGAAATAAGCACTCATTAAGATGCAGTCACAAACAAGGTATCACCTATTGCTGTTTTAACAGTGAAACAAAAGTTTAGAATCCCGTTACATGATCATGATCTTAGAGTCATGTGAACAGCTTTCGATTTACGTTTCCTGAATCTTATTTGAAAATATGAGTTTTTGACTTCTGAAAGTTAACACAAAATTCGGTTGATATACATACAGATACAAAAACCGAGCTCTCAAAATTAATCTTCAGGTTAACATAAAGTTATACTTACTTGAGGTTTTGTATGAACAGGTATGGGAAACCAATTGATGCCATAAGCGGACAGAGGAGAAGGAGACTGGTTATAAAACCCAGCTGCATTTGCCATTGCTGACATTAGAGTTCTATCGACATCCGTACTACGAACATGATAATAAGAACTGTTATATTTACTGGGAACAAATCCTTGATACTTTGATCGTAACCACTTCCCAAGAAAAAAATGCTGTTCTACACCTTTGTCTGTAAGCATGCCGAAGCCTTGCGACCAAGCAGAAGGAATTGTGTGTAAAATAGCAGGTATGTTAACGATTGGAGATCTGTCGCCATGTCGAAATAAAATATGCAGATGTTTGAGACTATCGTTTACGGAGTGATTATGAGAGGTGGGGGACAACTCTGGAGAATATGCTTCATTAGGAGGAAGCCTGAACCAAAACCCGAGAAAAATGAAGAGCATCTTGACCAAATAAGTTGATATACAGGTCATTTGTGCACACCTGTAACTGACCACTTGGTAGTACAATATCTACAGAGGGAAGAGACAGATCGCCATTAAAAATATTAATAATTACAAGAGGTTAAAACCTGAAATAATTTCCGACTACAGGATTAGGACGAAAGTGGACCCACTTAATGTTTATGATTTGTAAACTATGGGTTTTGAATAGTAGTAGCTTAAAATTTGATGAAATAATGGAGTTGAAACGTAAAATCCGAATACGTAATTCTCGCCATACAAAACCATGCTGGTGATGGAGTCGTACCCAAAATAAAAATGCCTCATTGAATGATTAAATAAAAAAGGAGTATTTCGAAGAGTGTTTAGATGCATGATGGTAATTCATTTCTGAAGCGGTAATTTGTGTATATACTTAATATTGAAAACGAAAATGTCAGAATAAAGATTAAAGTGTGCGTTTAGGGGTACAAAGAGAGGAACTTGATTGTGACATTTATATGCTGAATCAAATTTTGCATATGCGATACGAATACTATTTCAAACAATTAGGTAATGAATTTAACAATGACGAATTAATCACAATAACTTTATTTCTCTCCAGACATAACAAGCAGTAAATTAAAACCACACAATAGGAAAATCAAATGTGATCATAATCAAAGCGAATTTGTTTCCTAGATAAAAGTAAATTGAAGGTAACTATGGTTAATCCTGACATAACAAAACTCGATTATTTGAATTAAAATTGAGATATTTTGAATGCGTGCTGTTTCTTTTTCTCATGTGATTTGAAAATTAGTAAGCTATAAAAATATATTACCGCTTGAAAATTCCCTCTTAAATACAATTTGTGTTTACATCAGTATCACTGTCCAGATTGATGAACCACTACGTAATTTTCAACAGTTCAGCAAAATGTAAATACAAACGGGTGTTATGTAATATTGAAATGCTAACTTATATATTTATAGAACAAACTCTAATTACGTTAGCCGAATGCCAATCGGTTGAGATATAGCTAACACGTATGACAGCACCTTGTGAGTTAATTCACGACACTACACGTCAAAAGTATTTATCTAGGATAAATATTCACACCAATACCAGACGATTCCAACTATGTCACTTTGAATGTCACTAACAGCTAAGTTCAAAAGGGGATAAAGTCAGAAACACGTGTTAAATGTAAACGATGATTTTAATTTGAAAATATACGTCACAGCATTTCCGTTGGTATGGGAATAACCTGTAAACAAGAATTTTAAGCGTATTGTACACATAAAACAGAATAATAAGGGCGTTATTGAGTAATGAAGCAACTTACTTTACGTTAATCGGTAAATTTGCCCGTGAATGTTAGATGAAAGTAGTTTTCAATAGAAATCACTTCGTGATTTTATGACACTTGACACTTCAGTTCAAACTGCAATTGCTCTTGCTTTGCTTCTACTTAATAGTGCTAATTTTTAGTTTTATTTTATTTTATGGTTACTGTTTCAACAAGTCACTACCCATACCATGCAATCAGTTCAACTAACCTTTACAGGAAGTACCCTTGTACAAGCTACTAACGCTGACTGCTACACAAAATCTGGCAGTTACTTGTGCTATTAATTATAAACTTATTTGATTTGTAGATGAAAGATAAGAGGGGTTCTTACTATGTTGATAGAACAAGTGTATAACACTACACAAAAACACTTAAATCTTGATGTGAGAAAAGACTGACACTAAAAATATTCTATATGAATTTTCAGTGGTAAATGTTTTATAGTGATCCAATTTGATTATTTTGGGCTTAAAATTTTTATCTTAGCTAACTGTAGCTATAATGAATCACGCTAGGTCGATATACTGACGCACATACGTAAAGCATGCATGTTAAATATTCTAGGGGACAACATAATGTAGTTTTACCTATCCCAGTAGATCCGCAGTCGTGTCAAATAAATCCGTTATTACCAGTATACTTGTGGTTAACAGGTCATACAGATGCGATTGCATTTGCATAATTATGGTGTATTACAATAGCCTGTAAAGTGGCAATATTAACATAGATTATTAGACTAAAAAAACATGAAATTAAAGACAAACATTGGTAGACATCGAAAGGTTTATCAGAAAACGCCGTAGAATTGACTAATTGCTCAAGAAAATTTTTAAAGCAATGCCATAGTTAGTATTATAGTTGTAAAGTAACTAACAGTTAGCCGAAATACAGTAAAGTGACCAGGGTATTTTACAAGTAACGGTTTACTGAATGAATATTTTGTAAGCCAGCTATGCTGTTAACTTAGAGAGACCTAACTGTGTGTGGAGCTTACAGTACTCGATTTGTTACGGTCATACGATCCGTCTTCAAACAACTTTGACATCTTATTTAGAATGCAGTCTTAGCTTCAACCAAAATTTCACTGAAGACAAAATAGTCTCAAGACACTATGAACGGTAAGATGGGTTTGATACGATGTATACAGATATTAAAAACTACAAAAAACCAGACGCTGACTAGCAGCGTCATGACAAGCTCACCGTCGTCCTAGAAACTCCAAGCGCAGAGACGACCTTCAGATTTAAAAACAAGAACTCCGTTCTTGACTTTATTTCGATATCCAACACATTTAAAACGACAAAGCAAATTAGGCGAAAAATAGCTAGGTGATCGTTGTTTTCGGCACGGTATTGTGATAAATAACCGTGACTTTTGAGTATGAACCAGTACATGCTCGTTTTACGAACAAGGAGTATTAGCTTAGAGTTCAAATGGTTCAAATGGTTTTGGATGGAATAGAAGAAGCTTTCGCTTAAAGAGCTTACGTATTTAATAACAGTGGATCATCGATGACGTTAGCTTGGAATCTAGATATATTTGACGATAGAAGAGAAAATATTGGTAAATCATAGTCCCTAAGAATATGTCAAAATTTCTCTTAAAGGACACCTGCAAAGTAGCTTGGATTAGCTCAGCCGGCATTTGACTACTGTTATGGAGTGGCAGATCCGCCTATGTACCGTTATGTCATGTTGTGTCTCCAGTTTCCGGGTGTTACCTCTGAAGTTTGTGTTGAGACTAAGCTTCAGCAGGTGTTTAAGGGGATGTTTAGAAGTGTTAAGGATACTATGAGCCATTAGAAGATCACCTCTAAGACGCCTATACTCTAGTAAATGAAGGGTTAGTGTTTGGAGGCGCTCTTCGTAAGAATTAAACTTGAGTCTGCGAACTGATTTCGTGGGTTGCCTTTGGATACGCTCCAGAGTGTCCTTATCCTTTTGGAGTGAGGAAGGCAACACTACATTTCCGTACTCTATATGGGGACGAATAGAACTGTTGAAGATTATTATTATTATTCACAAACATCTTATGGGTACATAAGTGTTGTGAAGAAACCATTTCGGGTTTCTTCAGAAAATGCAATAATACACAATTTTCAATAATGTTAGCATTATACTTGCCATATTTAAAAAATAAAATAAAATATTAAAAAAAAATTTAGAATAATAATAGTAGAATATTAATAATAATAAATCGGGTCTGTGTAATTGAGAAGAATATTGAATTGAGTTTAAAGAAGGAAATGGAGAAAATAAGGGAATAGAAATAAAGGAGACGTGAAATAAGCAAACAGTCTTATAGGCGTGTTTATGAACAGAGAAGAAGAAAAAACGACCATGTGTGTATCGTTAAATTAGTAACAAAAAATAATTTATCATTGTAGTAAGATATGACACTAGAATAAATGTTTGTGCAGTTATCGTTTAGAGTGATGCTATGAAAGTCACAATTAAGTGAAAAGGATAATAAAATATCACTCTGTATGAGTCATATATGCATAGTGAAGATAAAATTAATCTGAGAAGTTAATTAAAGTGTAACACAAGTTATTGTCTTAATTAGAAACTTCATTATCTTAAGAATAAGATTTATTTAGAAGGGAAGAAGAGAGAGAAAAGAAGTGAACACCTAGTGAAAAGGTTCATCCATGATAAGAATAATAATTGTGTAATGAATATCAACCTGAGAAGGAAACCAGCAATTGAAAAAATAAAAAATAAAAATCCTTTAAAGCACTCGGATGAATACATTTAGATTTATGTAATAGTATACAGAATGAAACCAGATATTAGGGGTGATCTTATCCGCAACGCAACCATGTAAACTTAATGTACCAGTCATCTGTGCGTTCAAGTAACCACAGATTTTGACATTTCATAATGTATTTTTAATTAAATAACTAGATTATATAGCTAATTTTGATCTTTTTTTATATTTTTATTCGCCACGTTCGACTGCGTTACACTGCACGTCCATTGCATGCTGGGATGATATCTCAAGTCATAGTGAGTTTATTCACATAGTTGATTGTTTCCAGATAGACTGTCAGTGCATGATTTTACTGTAGAAAGGTTTATTGTACTATAAACTATGTCTTTATGAACAACTACCTGTTGTTTTCAGTCGGAAAGCAATATATATTCTTTGTCTTCTGTTCGGTAAGTTCAATTGGCCTATATTTCGTGTTTTTGTTTTATCGTCTTAATTATGTCCATTTAACTACTTTAAGCAATATGCCTGTGCAAATGAAACAATAACTATGACACTTGCTTAGTTTAATATTCTTGGTTGTCGTATAATTCAGTTTAGTTGAAAGAATTATGGTATAGTGCTTGAAGTCTGTAACGAAACAGATCAGTCTAGTAAGTAGAGTTGCCTGTTTCTGATGAGTATACTGATTCAAATCAGTCTGGTTAAAAATAGGAAAAAAGTGCTTTTGATACTGTTGCTGTCATACATTATAAGATAGCGATAAGTATGTTTGGTGTTTATTTCTAGATTGTACATCTATCACTGACCATATTTCATGATCACTGTCATTAAACAATTTCCCCAGCAATAACATCGGTAGCAGGATAGCTAAGTGTCTGAGCTTTTATTTGCCCGTAGAAGAGCAGTATACAGTCTTAGAAGATGAGTGTTCTGTATTTCAATTAAATGCAGTTGGCTGTGGACAAATGTTAAGAATCTTTTT